CAAACCGAGAAAATCCTCTGAAGTTCACGATTTTAGCGGTATTTTCCTGCCTGCTGTTGCTATGCCAGAGGAGACTGTGGACAGCAACAGCCCCCTAAGAAAAAAGGTGACATGTCTGAGAAAGCTAAGGAGAACTGGCAGCTTGTTTGAAAAATACTATGTGGAATAACATTGCCATCATTGTAGCAGGGAATAACACCACAGTCAGACCTGGGTAAGCCCTGCATTTTCAGAAGATCACTTTCAGGTGATTTTAGAATCCTCTTGGCTGAGAGAAACGTGCAAATAAAGAACAAATAGATTATTTACTTCTGCATGAAAAAATTGTGCTTTGTACTAAGATATCCCTCTGGACATGGTTTGTATCTTTGCTCTTCGGCAAACAGAAAAGTTCCTACATTTAAAATGAGAGAAGATATGATTATTTCTACAGATGCCCGCATCTCTTAGCTAAGCAGTCACATTACACTACGCCTGTGCCTGAGGTACATCTATCTCGTGAAAACTTTGGCTGACTGAACTTTCCTTTATCGACAGCTTGTTTTCCCCATTGTGTCTTGTCTTACAGTTGAAGAAGGAAAGAGCGATCACCGTGGCTACTTGACAGATAGTCTATCAAACTGGTGAAATATTTCAAATTTCTTTAACATTTGTATTGCACATACCCTGAAATCATGATTTGTGTAAACAGAGTATTTCATCCATCCTCACCTAAGTTCCCAAAGGGTTACGCATATACTCATTGCAACATTTTGAATGCAAACTGATTAAAAGTTACTAGTTCAGATAAGGAAATTACTTGTAAAGCTCCTGCCTTGTTTAGACCATTTTATATGTCCCACCCAAAATCTAAAATACACTGTACCACCTTACTTGAAAAGGTGATTAAAACTGTCTTTTTGGACAGCTACTTCATTAAAAACAATTTTTCAACAGTCTTTGGGAAACCTTTTACCACCTTCCACCCAGCTGTATACTGAAGCGTTATTATTTCTGACAAAGGCAGATTCCATCACCACTTCACTGCTGGCCCTGTAAGTTGCTGATGGTCAATAAAGTCAGTGAGATATTAAAACAATCCAGCTATCTTTGACTGCAAAGCAGGTGATTTTTTTTTTTGCAGATATCTGTCACCACAGAGAACAGGTAACAGCACTTACTTAGACCTCAGTGCTGCCCCAGTTACACGCATGTGGAAATGTGTACTCTGAACAATCCTACTGAGCAAGTCCCACCACGTAAAGACAGTATGGGGATAGGTCTTACAGGATCAGGGCCTCATTAACAACCATGGCGTACATACAGTCACTGCTGTTGTCAGGAGGCGCAGTACTGCTGGAGCTAGCGGTGGTGTACTAGGTACAAATCTAGTGTCACGCATGACAGCAGGCACACAGAATATTAATTGCATCATTATTGTACTTTTTTGTCGGCCTGGTTTTTGAGTTGCAAAACTGGCATTATACATAAATCGGTTAATTATCATTCCATGCCGATAAGGATATATTTAACATTATTTATGTAGTTTTGTGGTCTTACTGGAAAGCCCTCTGTAGTTCTTATGTAATTTAAAAGTAAGCACATGATTCTTGTGTCCCAGCAACCATGTTTTTTTTTTTTAACCTTTAACCCTAGTCATGATCTTCATCTTTTAATGCTACTTCCCTCTGATCTTTCTCATGACACTGCTAATTAATCTTGCTAACTCACACTAACTGTAATGTTGCTTCTCCTCAACACAAAGAAACACAGCTGAAGGAACAGAGGAATTAGTTTCTATCATGGGACTATAGGTACTTTCAGTAATTGTTTATAATCTATATCATTTCATGGAGACACATAACTGGAGAAATCAAAATATCCTTTTTTGTTCATTTTTAAGCAGTAATATATCTTTCAACAGCAGTATATGTTGTATGACAGAATGCATTCATGATGAACTTCATCTAAAGACTAACGGTATCCACTAGAATCTTTTCATTAATTTAATTGCTCTTTGTTTCAAGCATACTCTGAATATCTCTGGTGCATCTAAGTTATTTTTCAGCATATTTTACAGTATGATCAGACAGTGCTGAAACAAAAAGTAGAAGGCTTATACATCCTTTGGTTTATTAGTATAATGAAATCCATATGCCTCTACATACAAAACCTGTGCTAATCACATTCCCAGTTGACTGATTTTTGTACGCCTTCCTGACCTAAGCTCACTAGCTTAAACAATTCTTTACAAATATAATGAAATAGAATAACCATTCTGCCTTGTTGGTGAGCTGTTTGAGAAATGCTAATATTTTCAATCTGGCAGATAATTGCTTATGTAACAGATAGCTACTACCAAGCTTGTCAGATGTCAGTAACTGTTAGAAATGCGTGGCATTTAAGTTAGGCAATCTGTTGCCTTGACTGAATGAAAAGCCATTCCCTCTAACACTGCAAATTCAAAAGGCAGAAATGTTTTGCTGTAGTTAAATTGCCTTGCTACTGACAGCTAGTCCTAGCATTCAAGGCAGAACTAAAATAAGCCCAGAGGCATGAGGCAGAGGTCACTTTGGCTGCTGTGGGACCATTTCTGAGAAGAACAGGCATAGTATTCACGTTAGTCGTATCTCAAAAGTTGTGCGCTTTCTGTCACCGGGCAGGTGCTCAAAGCATGTGAGCATGCTGAATCAAACACAGCTGGATTTGTGTGAGATGTCATGCCAGCCCTCTGCTCTTCCCAGGGAACTCAAACACCATAAGCACATCTAAGAGAACCTGCAACCTGGATCATACATGTTGCTTATTTTTCTCCACTGGGACTTGTCCAGAAAGAAAAAGTGTAGCTGTCTTAATGCAACCCTAGCAAAACCTTTCCACTTTTGATATTGTCTGTGCTGTGCCTCCATCACTTTGCAATATTTACAATATGTGTATAGTGATCACATCTTTCAGCACTGCAATGAAGCTGGGTCTGGAATGATGATAAACAGATGTTCCCCAGCCTGTGGCTACTAGAACATTTTTAGGCAACAAAGGAAGTGCTGGATCACTCTCAGATGATGCTAATGCAATTTTGATGACAGGGAGTTTGAGGTGAAATGCTTTTCTTCAGTACAACAGTGCATTGAAATACATGCAATAATGTCAGATTCTTGATTTTTTTTTTTTTAAGAGAACATTAACTTTCAATCAATATGCCCTTTAAATGTTCTTTTGTTGGGACTCTGGGCCATTACATTCTTTGACTGCAAGGGAACTTTGATTAAAAGCATTTCGGGGAAGAATATACATTTCTGAACTCACAAAATGCAGTTGTTCTCCACTTAGTAAATTGTATGAAGGAAAGTATTTGCAGTACCTTTGCTTTCACCACTTTCATATGAAAAATAACTACTCATTGTTTCAATTACCTTTAAAATGGCTGAAAAGTAGTGACTCCTTTTAAATCCAATTAAGTTCTTGCCATAAAAGCCCAAACCTGTCTTCTGAAAATATTTATTCTTTTAGTACCCGAATCAGCTTAAGAATGAAAGTCCAATTTTAAAACTGATTTTAGGTGGCCAAAAATGCAAACAGGCACTTAATCATTTTTATTCGGTATGGCCTATAGTAAGAAGCACATCATCAAATGTTAGTTCAGTGTTTGAAAGGTAGGTGTCTAATCAAAGTTGGACATCTAGGCTCTCCCTTGGATTGACAGTGAAGGTAAATATCTCCAAAGGTTACATCATCCTACCTGCTGAAGAACAGGCTGAACCAATTCCTGGAAATGTCTTTTCTTGAACAGAATGAGAAATTCTTTATGCATGAACTTCTAAAATAAAAGATAAATCTCCTTCCTAATGTCTTCATGTCAAGATCTACTTCTGAAGAGCATGTTCAGGCGCTCTCTGCATCTCTAGGAATTGAAATACTTTTGAAAGCCTTCTGTAAGGCAAATGAAACATCTAGTTCTCGTTGTCAAGTTCAGTTATTCCCCAAGCACTTTGAAGTTTCAGGTGCTTTTCAAAATTATGTCTGTGGGGTAGATGTGTTCTTGGAATTCTTTTAGCATTTTTTGTTATGATTAGGTCTCTTCTAGAAGAAGTGAAATAGACCATGGACTAACGGGGTAATTGGAAGAACTAGAGTTACTCATCTTTGAATGTTGTTACATTGCCCTATGGCATGTAGGTTTGTCTGCAGGGGAAGGTGTTACTTAAGGAAATTTTGCCATTCTCTGTAGCCAAGTCACATTAATTTCCTCCCAAACTAGTTTGTTAACAAACTCAGAATCTCAGACAAGATGAAAACAGTAAAAGGGACATACCAGAGGAATCAGAAAATAAACGGTCTGCTGTTTATTGTGGGTCTAAATGACTTCAGAAAGATGACTTCATTTGTCTCTCAAATTCAAATGCCCACTGCATAAGACTTTATATTGTTCCACAGGAAGTATGTTTTGCCACTGGATCAAGACACTTTTGTGTGCTGTAAAAAAATGTTTTAAATGATGTAAGCTTACAATAAACAGCATATGAAAAAAGAAAGACCATTTTCTTTTCAGTGTATCTTTTTTAACCCTGCCAAGGTTTCCCCAGCGTAACACTTTTTTCTCTAAATTTTTTGAGCTCTGTCTTAAAGTTCATGGTAGTTTAGGAGGGGAAAAGGGGGAACATAAATGAAGCAGGAATATATTTGGAACACCCATAATGGAGCTATCAGCATAGACTATGATTAATATAGATGATTACGTAGACAAAGGTATCATCTGCAGTTTGTTTAAGCTCCTGAGGGGACTGTCGCATTCTCTAGGTTTATTAAGCTTGAGAAATCCCTTCTACCTCAAGGGGCACAGAAGAATTGTCATTTAAACTACATTCAAGGTGAAATAATATTAGGCTTTCCAACAGTGTAGCTCAAGCAACATTTAAGATTCCCCTAATTATATCACACTGTCCTTAACACAAAGCTTGCCAAGCCTACAGGAGAAACTGTTGAATGGATGGAGAGACCCTGCCAGGGTGAGAGCAACAAATTCAGTTCCTGTATTCTCCATGCTGCTTCTTTTTCCCTTGCGGCAATACTCCAAGGGAAAAGGGAGACTTGATGTTTTGCCTATCCCTTTCGGCTTCCTCATCCTCATCATATCTTTCATCCTCATCTTCATCTTCGCCTTCGCTATGGTGAGGGCTGGAATGCTGAGAGACAGAAGGTGATGGTGGCACTGATGAAGGCCTGGGGTACCTGAAACCTTCCGTCTGGCAGAGAGAGAAGCAAGTTGTATATATTATCACAGTGTTCCTCAATTGGTTGTATACAGCAATTTAAGGCTATCAACACTTCAAAGGAAACCAATGGTGGGATGCAAGCTAGACCTGCTCTGCACTCTAAAATCAAACTCCCTTGAACCCAGATCCCCTCAGTCCTTCTCTGCCACTAAGTACACAGTTGCATGGCAGTGATCTTTAGCCTGTGCCATAAACAATATGCTGTTCTTCCAGCACTGCTTTTTGCAAAAATATGAGTATCTTTATTGCGCCTTAAAACCATCAACACTACACAAAACCCTTCTGTACTCTGTAGTCAGAATATGCTTATTGAAATTCAGAACTCAGTCTGAAGTTTTAGAACAGTTTTCTAGTTATGTCAATATCTGCAAAACCAGAACGAAGCAAGGGGTTTTGGCCTGAGCCTTCTTTCTCCTTATTTAAAAAAATGAGTTGCTTTCTGGAGGTGTCTGGAGCTTGGTTTCAAATAACATTGTTCTTACATTGGATCTGAGTAGCTTCCCTTCTCAAATTAGTGCTAATATGCACTTTGCAAGAACTGTTTGAAGGCGTGCCTTTAAACTGACCCCTTTCAGTTCCAGCTAGAGCCTCCTCCTCACATACCATGTTTAGATGAAGGCAATACTTTGCCTTGCTTTCCCTAGAACATCCTTTCTGGCTCCCCTTCTACTTGCTTTGTGCAGAACATCTCCATGGCACTTATCATAGAATCACAAAATCATAGAATCATTTAGGTTGGAAAAGACCTTTAAGATCATCAAGTGCAACCATTAACCACTGCCAAATCCACCACTAAACCATGTCCCTAAGTGCCACATTTACACGTCTTTTAAACACCTCCAGGGATGGGGACTCAACCACTTCCCTGAGCAACCTGTTCCAATGCTTGACAACCCTTTCACTGAAAAAAAATTTCCTACTATCCAATCTGAACCTCCCCTGGCACAACTTGAGGCCATTTCCTCTTGTCCTATCACTTGTTACTTGGGAGAAAAGACTGACACCCACCTCGCTACAACCTCCTTTCAGGTAGTTGTAGAGAGCGATAAGGTCTCCCCACAGCCTCCTTTTCTTCAGGCTAAACAACCCCAATTCCCTCAGCCACTCCTTATAAGACTTGTGCTCTAGACCCTTCACCAGCTTTGTTGCCCTTCTTTGGACACATTCCAGCACCTCAAGCAGAAGCAAAATTAGAAGCTGCCGCTCTTCAAATAGGAATTTCAAGGGATAGTTCCTCAGGTGGTCTAAAGTGGCATGGTCCCACCCAGATCTCTAAATCACCTGAAGAACTGTTCCTGTATTGCACCTGGTACCCCTAGTGTTTGCATCTGATATCATTACAACTCCTGACTGGAGCTTGGGTCTATAACTTGTTGAGCTTTTAACGATGAGTTCCTACTTCCCTTCAGTTAAAACAAAACTTGCTACCTCTCTTCTCTCTCTTTCTGTCACACACACACATTCTTTCTCTCTCTCTTTGTGAAGTAACTAAAATGCAGATGAACTCATCTCCAAAAGCAGACTTTACCTTTGGTGGAGCACTTGGTTCCATCTCAAATTTATCTGGGAATGTTCTGCTGAGGGCCAGGTGTCTGGCGTGCATGTAATACTGCAACATAAAAAAGAAGCCTTTACAAGTCAAGGAAGTCTTGGGTAGACTTAAGCAGGAAAAAAAGGAACATAAAATGAGTATCTTCTAAAAGATGATGCTGAACAAAGGCTAAACATGTTTTCAGCTAAGGAGAATCCAACTGATATCACTGCTTATAATGAACACATTGCTGTGAAGTAGTGAGCCATTCATGTTAGATTCACACTGAAGTAGAATCTGGAACAGAAGCTGAATGAGGTTTCTGTAAGACTAAGATGTATCAAGATGGAAACCAGCATTTGTCTCAGTCAGTGTAGTTCTTATTGAGTGACAGGTATTCTTTATCCCTCATGGCTCTTTTTTAACCAGGAAAATTTACATCTTTAAGTGTTCATGTGTATACACATAAACTTTGGACTCATCCTTGCATAGGAAGCATGTGTAACAGTTACATAGAAGTAACATTTATGAGTTTACTGAGGCCTGGTATTTAAGAATTTGGCAAAAATATTTATAGATGGCTTGTTGTGTCAGGGTCTTATGCTGTGTTGGGAACCATATAAACAGAAAGGTTCTCACACAGATATCAGAGCAGGACAAGGTCCAAAATAGTTACAAAACTGATATATGTGCATTCACTTCTTTGCTCCTGTGGACTTGAGAATACTGCTTTGCTACTGTCTTCTTAGTAGGTGGTACTGCAGTGTTTTCTATGTCAAATTAAAAACACTATTTTGCCTTTAAGGCATAGAGGTAGTTTAGGAGTGTTGAGGAGCCACAAGGCCCAGCAGCATTTTAGGAAGAACAGGTAGGATTTTGGAAAGAGTCTGGATGACTTTGGAGCACAAATCCTACTTAGTGTAGGGTTGCCAGTGTTGTCAGAGACCCAAGCTTTTTACATTGTCTTTAGCACGAGGAGTACAAAGACCTCAGTGTGACTGGCTTCTGCTCTAACCTATTCAGTCAAGTCACGTCTTTACCACTGGAGAATGGAAGCATTACAGTGAAGTGTAAAGGCAGGCTTTGCCTTTAGCACCTTTAAGAGGTGCTTTTCAGAACAGGGATGTCTCCTTGCATTGTAGCATGACGCTGAAGACCGCTAGTTAGACCCATGTGTCTGGAATTTTTAATACCTCTATTACATAGTTTCACACACCCTGCCTAGGTATCTCCAGTCCAACAGATCTGAGAGTCTCTCAGTTCTGTTTCTTTGGATGATCCTCTGGCGACGGGACTGCTGACAAAATCCGTACAGGAACTGAGTCAGCTGGTTGCATGATTCATCAGGTGAGCGGAACCTCCTGTCAACTATGTAGATGCCTGAAGTACACAAAAAAGGTGAAGGTGAGTGGAACTGAAAATGGGATCTGACCTCTTACATTTCCATTCTACCTTCTGTCACATAGTCTTACAAACATTACATGTATTATATGTTCTTTTTAATGTTAGAAGGAAGCTATAACTGTAGCATTTGTTACTGTTCTGATGGAATGGAAAGATGAAGAGAAACATGTATTTTTTATGCTAATTTTCTTTACCTTTCAGGCTGAAATTCAGCAAATTATTCAAAACTCTGAGGCTTTTTTGTTGTTGTGTAAGTATGTCCAAAAGGATTCAAGAGTTTCTGGATAAAGACATATCATTTTTGTCTGCCATAATTTTTAAAATACTGATTGCTTAAAAAAAAAATCTAGTGCTTTCCTAGTTTGCAGTAGAATTTAGAAGTGTGGATGGTCAGAATCAGCCTGTAGGAGAGAGGCTGTGTTTTCTGTAGAAATACAAGTGTTTCCATAGAGATAGCTAACTCACATACATTAGTTAACATACAGTTCTGGCAGAGAGAGGGCCAGGGTAAACTTTGTCTCTATGTAGTCTGTGAAGATCAATACTTTATTCTTACCACCTTCCTTACACCAGGGTGTTGGGAAGAAGAGGGTACTAGACCTCAGCTATCTTAATGGACAAGACAGACGGACAACTACCTTAACTGAAGTGCCCGGTGTCCCCTAGGAATGTACAGTAAGTTAAATCAATGTTCACATCTATGTTTTGGCAGAGAAGAGCAAGTGACCTGTGCTCTTGGTCTGTGACCTTTCTGAAGGCTCTCAAAGACATGTCTACCCAGGCAAGCGTATTTTGCAACTAGCTCTAGCCCTGCCCCTAGGTCAGGGCATAGTTGGTACTAGTGTGGAACTGTCATTGCCTGACTGTGCAGACAAGCCTAGATACTTAGAAAAAGGCCCTACTTTGGGCACATTTTCAATATTGTCTTGACACACCAGGAGTTGGCTACCCTCCTCCTCACCACACTCCAATCATGAACCATTTCTAAATCTTTATGAGCTGATGCTTATTTGTAAGTAGGCTCCTTTTATTTTCACAGGCTTATTTTTTAGTGTAGGTGATAATTTACTCTTTGTTTGGTGGGGGCTAGTTTCACTGGCCTCAAAGTCCCAGTACATTCTTCTTGGACTATTCAAAGAGAAGCAGATTTTCACTGCTGTAATGTAAATGTAACACTGAAGTGTTACACTGTAACCAGAGCCATTAACGGGAAGTGCTGGGAGACTCTAGAGTAGTATGAGGAGCGCTGAGTTTGGAAGGATAAAGCAGACAAAAGGTTAAAGGGAGACAAAAGAGAGAGAACCTGGAAAGGGTTTGGATAAATATGAAAGCTTGAATGCTGGTTCAACATAACGAGATATTCAGAGCTCTGAATATATTCCCCCAATGAACTCCACTGCACTAGTGAAAGCATGAAATTGAAGAGTAACTGCATCGTTGCTGTGCTTTTTGCTTTCCTAACTCAGAGGAGGTATTTTGATATGGTGTTAAAAATGTTACCATAAGCTGCTGGGTCAGAAACATGTTCCTGCATGAAACAGCCGAATCCAGAAAGGTTTGTGGTTACACTGGGAATGCCCATCACAGTACATTCAGCTGCCAAAAGAAACACGACAAAAAGCATTTCAGGGCAATATGCTTTGAATGGTTTCACCTTGAGAGAAAAAAAGAAAAAGAAACAGGCAGACAGAAGGTCCCATAACACTAGAGCTGCTCTGAAAATGTGAAGTGAAAACTATTATGCTTTGTTGTGGATTTGGAGAAAAAGAAAAAAGAAAGAAAGAAAAAGACATTTTAAAGAGAAAATTGTACACTGTTTTTGCAAACATATCTTTGTGTTTTCCAGCAGCTAAACTGAAAACTTTCTGGGAGTCCAGTGTTGAAACAGAGAACCCCAATATATAGTCTGGACTGTTTGTTTGGATTTTAAATTGAAGCCTGTTGTACACATATGTTCATTAGTTGTTCACAACTATTTACAAAACTGAACCTCTTAAGTGCAGGAGTGTGTTAAACTTTGTATTTTTATATTCATTGTTTGTAAACTGGTCCCTATAGCAAGAAAAAAAAAACAAACAACAAGCTCCATTATTAACTCAGGACTGCATTCAAAGTAGATGCAGAGCTACTTTTATAAAATTAGAAAATGTATGCATCTTTTGTAGTTATTTCTATCACTGCTGTGAGTAAGGATAACTGTTTACTCAGGCTTAAAGAATTTTTGCAGCTGAACTTAAGCCTAACCTAAGACAGCATGCAGATAAAGTAAATACTCTAGTCTTTGAAATGCTGAAAGCCATCTACATGGCCTTCATTCATATGACAATAAAACTGGTGTCTATAAAATAGAGCTATAAATCTACCTTAAAAAAATTCACTTTTTGTTTCTGGCAGAATTAAATGGGTATCAACAAAAAGAATGACTTTTGCATTAGTAAAGGAAAGAGAAATTACACTTTTAACTAGTGTAAAGCACATCTTTCCTCAAAACTAAGTACCAGTCTAACTTTTCTGACCAGGTTTACTTTAATGTTCACTTCAAAATCATCCCTGGCTGCCACACTTTCTTTATACCTTAGCTGAGATTAGAACAGGAAGAGAAATTGCTGGAATGCAAGACAGTTGTCTTTCTTGGGATTGAATAGCTGTCTTAGTTGGACAGAAATAGCTCTGGAGAATTACTAAATTCGCAAAATTTCTATTCTGATTCATTGGCTTAAAACAAATGCTCTTCAGAGGGGCACCCCAACTTTCATATGTGTATCAAGACTACAGAAAGTATTTTGGAAGACATAAAAAACCCAGGCACTTAGGCTTTGATCTTCATAGGTATTCAAAGTCATAGTTTGCACTGATTTCATCAGGTGTTAAGTGCCTTTTGTAAACCTGGGCCAATTTTTTAAAGTCAGAAACTACATGCTTTCTGTATCTTTAGAAATTTCCATTTAATTCTGTGAGATTCTCTACCACTGCATATATTTGTGGCAACTATCTTAGATATGGTGTTATATGATTCTATCAAACTTAATTGTTATCTTGAATTAAATCCACTGAAGTATGTCGGCTGGTAGCATCAGATTTCTTGCCCTACTTTTTTCAATATGTACATTCCTCTAAATCTTCTTTTAAAATCCTTGAATCAAGTTAAGAATTAAGTTTAAAAAAAATGATTTTTTTGTTCTAAAGCCACAGAAAATCAAAAGATTACATGTTAGTATGGGAAAGGGTCCAGCGCAGGGACAAATGTGAGTAGTTGTCAGTCAGTAGATGCCATTTTATACCACCTGGCCCCCAAATTTGGCAGCAGTAAGACCTTTGTGCTGCAGAGGAAACAGAGCCAAAAGAGTTTTTTCAGCACTCCACAAGAAACTGGCTGCAAAGCTATTCTGCATCAACAGAATGGGTATTCATATTTCGATACTAGTTAAGTGTACAGATTGCCTACCTGGCGTGTAACCCCAGGGTTCATAGTAAGACGGAAATACACCAAGGTGGCAGCCTCTAACAAACTCCTCATAGTCCAAGGGCAGCAATGGGCTTGTTGAAGAAAGAAACTCTGGATGCAGGATCACCTGGATATTCAAAACTTACATTAGAGGTGAAAGAAAACCATCATCAATACATTTTAACTATCAATAAGCTTAAGCAATTTCTTCACTCTGGTCTTTTCCTAAGTATCTGGACAAAACCTCCTTTGCCCATCTGTTATCTAGTCCACTTCCCACACTAAAATGTATCCTGCCTATGTGTAGTCTTGTCCTGGAAATAGTACTGATAATGAACCATTTTTCTGGACAGGTCTTCAGCTTTACCCTTGTTGATCAAGGAAGACCATGTGCATTGAGAATTATGCCTAAGGCTGTGGCATCTAGCAATACTACATTGGTTCTCTTGGTCTGTTGTACCAAGGTACAGAGTATTGGGATCTCTTGTTCCAGAGGAGGCCCCAGGAGGATACAGCACTTCTGAGCTTCACAGCATGCAATGGAAATATAGGAATGCTTATGGAGCTCAATGGAGCTCTCAAGAACTGAGAGAATTGTGAAACCAGACATATTACAGCCCCATCATTGCAACCCTGTACCTACGCTAACTAATCTTGCTGAAAGACAAAGCTTATTAACTTAGGGTAATGTCCCGCTTTCACAACCCGAGCTAATTTATCTGCATGACTCTGCAGGGCTTGGGGTCACTGCCCCATATTCCACTGCTAAGTAGAGAAGTGCCTTGTGTGTGCTGTCCAGTCAACTTTGGCAGGAAGAAGTGTGAGGGAAGGGTTTAACCTTCTCTGGGCTTTTTTCCCCACGTAAACATACTGCAGCCATTATTCCATGTCAAGGATATGCTTTTATCCTTTCTTAGTAATATAGTCATGCTACTCACTTGAGTAAATCAACACATGAATATATTCAACCAGTAAATGGCCTGTAAACTCATTATGCAAGCTTATTTGATCCCAGTGAATCAAATAAGATTTTTCACTGGCACTGCTGAGGCTATTTTTCACATGCCACCTGTGTCTGCATGGATATGTCATACATCTCTCAAAATTACTTTCCATTTGAAGTTTAGAGAATTTTTGTCAATGACATTCAGCTCATTAAGTATTAATCCTATTCATGCAGCAGGTAATTTTCCAGTGGTAATGACAGTTTTGTACAAATTTGACATATACCTAGCCAATCAAGTCCGCTGAGAAGCAGGAAGAGGTGTCTGCTGTGTTATATGCTATCTGCTTTCTAATGACTTCAAGCAGTTGGTTCTGAGGAATTTTTTATTACATTTATATACAGTGCATCCTTCCACCCTACTTTTCTTACATCTAGTGTATTATTACCATATTATGTTCTCAGAGCTCATTGGAGACATACACTTAGCGGAGAATATGTTAAGCCAGGAAGAAGCAACTAGGAAGCCGAGGAAAATGTTTACTCGGTTATCATCATGAGTTTAAAAGCCAAAACACTGAGAACAAGTGATATGTCATTGTCAGAGATTCTATGGATCTGACTTTAAAAAGAAGGTTTGGAAGAGGAAGAATTTGCAATTTTAGGTTCTACTTTGAATAGATAGATGATGACATAGTCATAGTTAACAGACAGAATGCCAGAGATTGCCAGACCAAAAAAGGCTTTGGCAGACTTGTGAAAGTGGGAGCTGATCATTTCTGTGGTCTGGCAAGATAGATATGGAAGTAAGGAAAGGATTTATTTACATACATTTACCTTCAACCCTTGATGTAAACATGAGCACAGTATGAACAGGAAGTATTTCTGCTCAGGACTGAAGCCCTGGTTACCTTCTACAGCAAATGCTGAGTGTTAGGGTGCTGTTCTTAAGAAATGAACTCCAGAAATGTCTGTGCTCAAACTCTGGACCTCCAGTTTTAAGCAAATGAATCTATTACAGAGTTTTACATCTGGGTGCAAACGACCTGTGGCACCTTCTGGATTTCAGGAGTAGTAGCTCCTCATTCAGTACAGGAGGCAACAATGAAAACAATTCCCTAACATCAGATTTCTAACTTGGTTAAACAGCAACAGAGGACATCTGTGAAGTGACTAGTTGTTATTCCTGGAAAGGGAGAAAGAGGGAAGAAGTACTCTACCAGTATAATACCGCCTATCGAGAATTTGACTGCACTCCCCATGCTAATCATCCAGACTGAGACTGTTTAAAGAAATTCCATTTTATATCTAAAAGGAAAATGACAGAATGTACCTTTACTCTGTCTGTCCGGTTATTGAAAAGGCCAATGCGTCGGATGGTATTGAGGATTGGATCATTGCCATCGTCAATCATGTTGTGAGTGGTCACTGGAGGCAGACAGTGTCGCTAAAGAGAAAAAAGGCAATCCATAAGCCAGACAAAACTGCTGGCAAAGAGTCCTGTTATCATTTTCTAAGCTTAGTGGAAGACAGTGGGAGATTTTGTCATTGATGTGGATAGGTTTTTACCCTTTCATTTTAAGGTAAGAAAGGAAAATTATGATCATATAATGTTGTCTTCTATATAACTAAGGCCACGAATGAGACCATAAAATCTGTCACAGGACTTGTTTCATTTACCTCAAAATAAATGTATTTGTACTAACTTTTAGAAAGGCCCACCACTTAATTTTAAAGGTTTCTAGTCAATACGTTATGTTTCCTTAAGAGACTGATTTTATATATTTAATAAAAATGCAAGAATCCAGGCTTCAGGAACAAAGCAAAATTCACACTTAGTGCAGAAGAAAAGAATCAGGAATTTTGGTGTCCTGCATGTGACTGGGGGAATATCAATGGAATCCTCAAAAGAATTAGTTTGGGTCATACTCTCATTAAAAAAGACAGTTGATCTTTAAATGTCACCAATGAGAAGTATATTTGCAGAAAACTTCTGTTTCAATGCATGCATATCACTATATGTCATACACGATCCTTGTACATAGTCATGTTTATTATTTAGACTAGATGTTTGTGTAAATAATATATTTTCTGACCTGAGTTGAAAAGATGGCTCTTTTCATAATGGTTATATCATCTCGGTCAAAAATCTTGTTCAAGTCTGGAATTTCTCCTCTGCAGAGGCAACACAGAGCCTGTTTTACCAAATGACTTATTATGAGTTGATAAAGAAAATGAAGAAACAACAAACAAGGTCTGATCTGAAGTCTGCTGATGTCAACATGAACCTTTCCTTTGTCTTCATGGCCCTTCTATGTTCCCTACATTTCGTTCTCCCATACACTTGCTGACCTTCCAAATAGCTTCCAAAAAAGCTAAAGAATTCTTTTTTTCTGTTTTTCAGACACACCTTGTTTTTGCTGAAGTTCCAGTCATCTCATCTGTGCTTTGGGTCATTCACTTCCAACTGTCTTTTGACAGGATATGACTAAGCCACCAATACATATTACTTTGTCTCTGGTGCTTTTTTAAGCTGAGGTAGCTCATTTTTGACAGCGAGTAAGCCTTTGTATTACTTAGACATCCCCCATGTCTTGTAAGACTCTTTCCACAATGGGGTACTAGTACCTTTAAATTTTTTCTCTGTGATTTGCCTATTGAACAAGTAACATGTATATGGAACAGAGGGTCCCATATGCTTCTCCTGTGCCCTTCCTATGGATGTCAAGATGTCTTACACAAAGAGTAGAAGCACAGACACACCACAGGTAAGCTAGCTGAATATGTGGCTCTGCAAGGCAGAACAAAGTAACCTATACACTCACTTTAGCAGGGCATTGTAGAGTTTCTTTCCAAACTTTTCTTTCACAGACTGTGCAGTGTCCCTAGGAAAATAAATAAATATATGTATAAAACAGGAGAATCGAGGACAAAGACAGAATAAAAGAGATGCCTGCTGTTGGAATTAAATTGTGCTTTCATGTATACTGATGGAATCAAGAATGCAGCAGCAGATAGAGGTCTGGTTCTCAAGGTTCTTTTATCCAGCCGGCAGCCATACTGATGGATTTCAACACAACTGAGGATTTGACCTGTGTCCAAAGATGAATGCACTGTGAAAGCCAGGAGCAGACCTCACTAGTGATTACTTTTAATATTTTCCTCTGATCAGTAGACCACACTTTCATCTCAGCTATGAAAAAGAGAGCATATATATGACTCTATGTAGAGAAACATGATCATTAACATTGGACACTAAGCAAGACTGAGACGTCTCCAATTTAACTTGACCTAGTAGAAAGATGTAAGAGTTAAACAAATAGAGATTTTAAAGCAAGCTTCTCCCTTCACTTTCTGCCCTATTTCCTAACTCAAAGACTTTTGAAAACAAATGTTAGACAAAAAGATAGTTTGACATAAATTAGTTTGCAAACCAACAAAATTCCTGACCATGTTTTAAGCTCAAGGCCATGTTTTAAGCTCATAGTAAAGCCTGTGCCAGAAAAATGTTATATTTTAGCTAAGAAAGAACTCCAGTGAACAACTCTTCTAAATGCAAAGAGCCATTTATATTATCCTGCTCTTAGATGAAACAACTTGAAAGTACAGCTGGAAGTGCTGTTGTCAAAATAGCAAATGCACTTTCAATTTCAGTAAAACACCCAATTCATGGAACTTTTCCTGCCTTTCTGATTTCTAAGAATTATACTTTGGGCTAAGACAAAACTTGTTAAGTGAAATCCTAACCTTTACCAAGCTGAGAATCCACATACCTGTTAGCTGCTCTCTCCCAACTCACATAGTCACGATAGTGGATGAGTTAATTTTGGATGAGTTGTAAAGCAGCTAAATATTAAACCAAATTGATCCAAATCCCAGCAAGCTAGTCCCCTCATGACTATATTTTCATAGACTCATGCCATGAACAATTTCCAAAACTTAAACACAGATAGGACAGACTGCTTTTCCAGAAGCAAAGGAAACAAGGGGTTTTATATCCCAGATGAGCCATCACCTATTCCTTTACAAGTGCCAACCTCTTCTTGTATGTAATTTCTGTGGCATCCTTAAAATCATCTAATACCATTATGTAATACTGATATCAGGTGGTTTTATCCAGGAGCTCCAGATTATGACCATGATAATGCTGCGTATGATGATGCAGAGGGTCTTTTGCTTTTCACAGAGCACGGTGGGAAGAACAGCCGGAAACAGCATTTTTTGCATGATTTCACATCTTTACGTTTACCTTTACTGTTACTATTGTGCCTGCATTACTGAGTGCCAGAGAAATAACAATGTAGTAGAGATACAACGGGGAGAAACCTTTGCATATTTCACTTAATTTAAACTTTCCTAATATCCATATATTATTTATTAATATGTACCTGTTGTATTACATTCAAACATTACATACTTTGTATCAAAGACAAAGCAGAGGCCAAAAGCACTTGTTGCAAGCATGGCTGTTTCTCACTGCACTCACATTATTTTCCTACAGTTCTTGCGCATAGAGTTCTCATTAAAAACTCTGGCTATGTTACCCCGTTTTAGCCATCTACAGTTTAAGCTAGTTGTGCAGATCCTCCACACATCCACAGAGGGTGACAGTCCATTTCAGAGGATGATTCCCTTCACTCATCTTAGACACTTCCTGAAGTGGTATAGGATGAAACATCATTTGGAGTAAACCATCAGTCTCCACTAGCAGTGAAGGCAGCTCAGATGCATTACTTTTAGGAAGCCAGAGTTGGACAATTAATTCCAACCTCTGCATTTTTGGTACCTGTTTCCAGAGTGATAACCAGGTAGAATCTTTCCTGTAAGTCCCAAGAAGTTACTGTGTGATGGCCCTGGATATAATCTACAGAGTAGATAGGTTTCTCATATCTGTCTTCTTTTCCAGATATGGCAAAAGCTAAATGATTTCAATGATCCTTGTTAAACTATTTCTGTCACTGTTTTTGTGCAGGTTTAGTATCCATTTATCAAAGACTTCAACTTGATTGCTGATATCCAGAAACTGAGCCAGAGATCACCTGCTGGAGGCAGTTAATGAGATAACAAGAAAAATAGTATCCTTCTCGTACACGGTGCCTTTCATCTACAGATCTCTAAGTTGTCTAGATTTCTATCATTTTATAAATATAGAACTGGCATCAGAAAGAGGTTAAACACAGTGAGACACAGGCATAAAAGCGGAAGCTAGGTCTTGTGGGTTTTAGTCCCTTAGCTTTAAGACCAGCTTCCTTACTTCTGCATCAGAGTTTAACTGCTCTAGCCACCTGATAAGGTACACACTTCCATATCCCTGCTTAGATAATTAATCTGTAAATACGTTAAGTGAAATGGCATTTTTCACTTTTTTAAACAAAATTCATCCTTGATAACCCACCACTGATCTTCTTTACGGATTTGAAACTTCAGTTTTGCCAGGTCTCCCAGTTTAGAAGTGCCTCACAACACGTGTCTTTTCCTACGTAGAATCACATAGCAGTTAAAGTGAGGTGAAGGTTAAGTCTGCTTCTGCTTTGCTTTTTTGTTCAGGAAGTTGTAAAATGAAAACTGTATAACTGAGAAGGGCTGTGACAATCTTCCCCTTATAACTGTAAGTTTCACTGCTTGTGTATGGCCATTGCTTATTGTTGGCTATATAGAAAATTATACCTAATTGTTATCAACTGTTATTCTGCTGGATTAGACAGGACAATTTCCATATTTCTAAATAAAAGAGAACGTGTAATTAATTTCTTTTTCCCACCAGTGGCAGAGAAGCTCACTCTGATAAGTTAGCAGGTGGTCCTTATTTTGTGGAAGCTCAATGACATGTCCAAAGGGAGTATTATAAAGTCAGAAGGCATCCAGAATACGGGATTTTCTAGATCCTTTGACTTTGTCACTGCAAAACAAGCACTATTTGCTAACTTGTTACAAAGAATGGCAAGGCAAATTTACTAAAAATAACCTAGGACAAAAAAAAGATAAATATTTGCTCTTATTTATCATTCCCATCTCTTTCACCCCCACAAATACATTCTAGTTACCCATAATCCTCGATTCTAGCAGAGAAAAAAGAAAGAGCATGATTCTTCATCAGAAATTTTTGCATGTCTGCTCAATTCACTGTACGGGGCCCTTAGTGAGAATGGCAATTACCAGAGCTGCTTCCGGACTGCTTGCCCTTTCAGGGTTTCCACATTGAAATTGTTTGTCTTTGCTGGCATGATGAAGAACACAACAACTGTAACATCAGTCTTATGAACCTACATGGACACAAGACGGAGAGAAAAAAAAAATCTCACTACAAGGTATCACAGCCATCTTTAACAGTAAGAATTAGTCACAGGAACAGCCAATGCACATTGATCGGTTGTCCAGGAAGGCTCTGATCTTATACCTCTCCCTTTAGCTATGAAGTTTTTGTCAAGTCAGAGATATAGCTGAGGATAGATACAGGTAAACAGATGTCACCCAATTCCAGTTTGGGCAATAGAGATCTTCCTGACTTCTCATGGTTGAGAGGCCATGGCTTAGGATGTGAATATAAACTGCAGAAAATAAAAACCCTACACACATTTTCTCATCTGACACAAACTTTGTTGGCTCAAAGGAACGAGCAGTTAGTTTACTAGCTGCGGTATGCCCAGACATGGGGTGAGGGATTCCCTACAGGAGCAAGCAGAACTACCTTCTATAGCAATAGTGCCCCAGAGGTATGGGCAGAAAGAGGCATGATAGCAACCACTGTCTACCTGAATCCCTGGCAAAGAACGTGACAGACACACAAAAAGCTGCAAGTAACTTCTTGCTCATCTGTCACATCCAGCTACTGCAAAGGCAAAAAGCATTTGCTGTAAAATCTGACCCTTTACTTATAGATGGTTTCACTTGCTGGTTTCTCCTGTGCGCTAACAAGATTCAGAATACCAGGTCCCTGAGCGATTCCTCACATGGAGCAGAATGAGGTTGTACTCCTGTCAGTAACTATTTAAAGAAAAGCTAAGGGTGAACTCTGTTCAGAGCTGTAAAAATCAAATTAATTTGAATTGCCTCCATTCTAAACTTTAGACACACAAACATGCTATTAGCATGCCTTGTCTCAGATCGAAGTACAAGGAAACGTATAGTATAAAACAACCTATGGGAGTCATCTGTCATTTTAAGGTTCTTCCCTTCCCTCTCTTCAAGGCGGGTTCAAAGTCCATCATGCTATGATCTCAGTGTGTATTAACAATCTGTCCCAACATTCGTATTTTATTTCCGAAATGTTAGTAAGGTTTTCAGGTAGAAAAGGAAAATGACTCTATAAAATAAAATAATTCCATCCAATGCTATGTATTTTTTAGGTTCAGGTACACCACTGGGACTTGTTTAAGAAGCACCATCATTCCCAGATTCACAAGTAGTACAGTGTTGTCCCCAGTGGAATTACCTCTTGAAATAATTACAGAGCGAGTGTTCTTTGAACAGCTAATCAAGTGCTGGCATGCATGTTGGAACAGTAACGCATTAAAGCCAGCCTCAGCTTATGGGAGAAGCAAGTCCCAGTACACTGTTCTAGAGAGCTTTGGAAAACTAACCCTCAATTTCCTTTGACTTTCCATCAGCCTAGCTTGTCATTGATGTCATGTAAATCATTAGATACAACAAGAGATTGCTGCAATCATTGCTCAAGCATAAGACCTTCCACATTATCAGCACTTATAGTTAATAGCTATGTAAATGCCATTAACAGGATGTTGCATGGCATTACCAAACAACAGAAGTCAGTTGTTTGGCAAAGTTGTGGAAGAAATACTTAAGTTATGTGAGGTGACCTCTTGTGTGAGTGAATGGGTTAAGTATTTCCAGAAAGTCCACAGGCTCTAATGGTGTATTAACAGAAGGTTGCAGTAGAACAAGTGTACTTAGGGCTTTGAACATTAATATTTTTTCAGCCCTGCTGACAATACAGTATCAAGATTTTTATCCAGATTTTTCATAGCATTTAAATGATAGAGTACAAAAGACAGCATCTGGGACAACAGTCAATTGATCCTTGCTAGATGACTGAAAACTGATTAGCACTTTTTTTATTTTTTATTTTAAATATATCAGTCTTTGTGACACACCTGCAGACATTTTCAATGACCTCATCTGTAGATGGTAAGTGCTCTGCTCTTTGATCATGACAAGGTCTAGGTCTTATCTTCATTAAAGTACTTCACAAAGGCATTTAGAAACATTGCACTCCTCTTTTACCTGAGGAAACAGAAGCATGGAGGAGTGAGTGGCTTCCTCATGCTTATTCATCAGGCCACTGCCATACTGTGAATTTTAATGCAAGATTCCCATGCAGTGTGATAATAGTACTCAAAAATTTAAAAGATCATGGTCAGGTCCTAATGAATTAAGCAATTTGCTTAAAAAGATATTTTTAAATTGCATCATTAAAGGATTACTTTTATTTGCCTTCTAATATGTAAACTTTCAGGGTAAATTCTTGAATCATATTTTCAGTATCTTTCTCTAAAAACAAGGGACGTAACCATGGATTAACTTCTCGAACTATGTAATCAATTATTTTTGAGCAGCCTGAGATTCTTACATACTCTGATCATTCCGGGAGAGAGCTTTATGAAAACTCTGAATATCCCATAATTATTTTCCTATAAACCAGAGTATGGCATGGAAATTCTTGCAGGTGACTTCCATAGTATGGTAAATTTGAGCATAAGCTCTATGTTATCCACATTTGCAGAAGCTTTCTTACCCTCAGCAAAAAGTTTAATCTTGATAAGGCTTCTAGAAACATATCAGCTCCTTTGTTGGAAAACTCATATCTCCCAGCAATGAAGAAAAATAAGGTTTTCTCAAGATTGAAGTCAAGGTGGCTGAAACCAAGCAAACAGACAGACAAGCATAAAGTATTTCTCAAGGTATAATCAAACAAAACACACAACAGCTTTCTATTCTGGAGGAATTTATTATCCCAAGAAAATAATGAAAGAGAGGCTTTTCTGCTGTTCTTTAAATTGACTGTCTTAATCTGATAAACTGCATCTTGGTTAAATAATGAAAAAATCAAGACCTTCTGCCTGATCCCGCAATCTATTAAGCAGAGTTAGAACTGGTGTCTAAAATTCCTTTAGCTTCTGACTGAGAAGTCCCAGACAGGTATTGGAATAAGTTGGCAACATTTCACCTCTGTGAAGTACTTGTTAGTCTTCCTGCTTTGGTTCTTGCTTTAAATAGTGTTGGACAACCATTGCTAATTTTTGAAAAGTAAAAGCATACCCATAGAAATGACCTCGAATGAACTCTTGGATCCTAGCCTTGTACATGGAATGCAAATTCTGAAACTCATGCATTGCTGAAAATTTCTTAATGTTCAAGCCATTTGGGGTGACAACATCTGGAAAAGCAGAGAAAAGGCAGAAGTAGACATCTTCAGAGTTAGAGAAATCTTTAAGGAAAGAACCAACATGTCTTTCAGTTGTCAATATGTGTACTCTTATTACTCATGGGTAGGGAACAGCACTGTCTAACACAATGGTCTCCACCAGCTTACTCCACAAAACATGTGGCACTCCACTGTCTATAGCATTGAAGTGGCTTTGTACCATTTTGACCTGTACTCAACATTAGCATAGACCCATGCCCTTTTGTCCTGTCAAGACTTAAGTAATGTCTCCATTTAGCCATATGGTTTTTGTGCAATATGCCCGTTAACTCTTTGTTCTTGATATCACTGTTTCCTGCTTTATCACTATAGATTGAAAGCTCTTGAAAGCAGAAACTGTGCTGTACTATGCACTTGCTTACTGCATGGCACAAGAGAGGTCTCTTCTGTCAAGACTTCTGAGGATTTACCAGAAAGGGAAGAATATAAGAAACATTTTTTAAAAGACCGCTTTTCAGTAATCTGTTGGATCTCTCCTAAAAATAGCCACAGAGTAGTATGCTTTACGCTTTTATGGCTGCTCTCCTCAAAGATTCCAAAGCATCTTACAATTAAAATTTGTTCATTTCCAGTATCTTCTAAGATAGAGTTATAGGATATACATAGAGTTATAAGGATAGACATAGCTTGTTCCAACCAACACTGAAATTCAGTCACTCTTCACCTTTCTGGTACAGCACAGCAGCTATTTAAAGGCTTGCTCTAAATCTAGTTGAAAAAAATGGAAAGAATGCCATTTTCTTTTCTTTGAGTTGGCTTATGAAAGCCATGTATGGAAATGAAAGGGGAGAACAGTTCGTCAGCAGATGTATTTCATACTAACACAACTGACTTCGGTAGACCTATACTAACTTATGATACCAGAGATTCTTCAAATACAAAGAATCTTCAAAGAAGCCAGACGCGCTAATTATTAGAGGATGCACTGGTGCCAATTTCATACTTGTTCTCTGGGCAAGTGTCATCAGGTGTATAGTAACCACAACCATTAACCGTAGTAATTTTAAAAGTTCTATGCATCACCCAAAGGACCTGCAGTGAGATATCATTCCCTACCACACATGGTTCATGCAAAAAAACCAGCATCTCCTTTGATGTCAGTGCACATGGTTAACTCCTCCCCATACATCAGGGTTACTGATGGGAGTACAGTCTCTTGCTTGCCACCGCTATAGGACCTGAACGTTACTTCTATTGAGGTCTTTCAGTCAAGGATCCCTGACATTCAGGGTTTCCCATCCCTTCCCCTAAAAGTAGAGGTTTGCATGTCTAGCATTAAGCATCTGACCTAATACAAAACTGTCTCTTATTTCTGGAGAGACTTAAGGAGACGTCTTTAAAATATCTATGGGTCCTTTGGTTGATTACATATCAAGATGATCTTAAAATAAGTACAATCAGTTCTCCATATGCTGTCCAGTATACTTGCTTGACATTTTTCACGCAAATGCCAGAGCCAATTTTAATGACTTCCTTGAAATTTACAGTCTGCTTTAGCAGTTATATATATTTCCCTGCCAGGTAAGTCATGTCTGATTACTCTTTATCTTGTGAAGTGTTTTGAGACTCTCTAGGTTAAACAGCAGTAGATAAAAATATAACCCTTATTAGTAACCATGCAATACCAAAAACTTCAATGGATCTGTCTTGAAATGCCACATTGCAAACTGAAGACCAGCCTTTACCAGGAAATCTTTACTTGTTAGGTACTTGGAATTTGGTTCTCACTGACAAGAAAGGAGAGTCTTGGTGAGCCTGACAGGAAAACTTGTGTTATCTTCTGCTGTCCAGCACTAGGAGCTGCTCTGAACAAAGACCTATGGGGCCTTATATGAGTGGGGGGTCATCAGAGCAGAAACACCCTCCATTTCTCTTTGTGTTTACCAACAACATATCTTCTCATTCCTCTGACCTGTTTCTTGTTCAGCACAGAACAACTGGCTCCTGCAGGACATAGCTTTGAGACTGCAACCATTTTAAGCTCTTCCCAATAAAGTAAAAATCCTTGACTGGGAATTTCTGGCCAGTTTCCATCCACTCTCTTGCATTTATTTATCAGGGAGTTTTGGACACTCTCACCCATTATCAGCAGCCTATATATAACCTACTCCCATGTCCTTTGATTCAACTGCAGGTTCATTTACCCTTTCATCAGGATTGCGGCTCAATCCATCTCTTAATTAAGACTTTGAGGTACAGAACAGACATATCCAGTTCACTATTTCTGCTCAGCATACAATAATATTTTAAATACGTGTGAGGCAATGTGCCCTTGCCCTAGGGAAAAAGTGATGAGAGAGCTTTGTTCCTATTTTAAGTGTTTTAGGGTTTTTGTTGTTTAATGAATTAATGATATTTTTGTTTTAAAGTTGTCACAAGTAGGTCAAACCAGAATGATTTGACTTCTGTATTTATAGGAAAGAAACTGGCCTTGATTTAAGTAATAATAGCACAGTATGATGTTTTCTGTTCATAAGTCACTAAGATTCAAGGTTGACTCATACTTTTTCAAAGTTTACTTCTATGATTTTGACCAAATATATACTGATACGAAGTCTAGATCTAGATCTTAACTGATACCTAAGTCTCTTGGAATTCTGATTCAAAGTTTTCTCTACTGCAAATGAGAAATATGTTTCATATCTGAATGAAAATATTAGAAATCCCATATCAGTTTTCAGATCACAGGAATATAACTTATGATCACTGACAGAATCTTGCACAATACGTCAAAGAGGACAGGTTCAACATTAGATACTCAAGCTTTACGCAAATATGGTTTGATAAATTATTGATCAAATAACAACAGCAGCAAGTGAAAGCATAATGCAAGCAGTCATTCTGCCAGGTTTAGACTGGCAAATCAGCCTTTGTCCTGGTGCAAAAGCTCTATATGCAATCATGTCTACTGAATTTTTCCAAGTTTTTTTGGGCTTTTCTAAGTGATGAAATTTATAAATTAAATTATAATCCAAGTTTAATGTTAATGAGGAGTAGCAAAGACCACTCTACTTACCACATTTCCTCAGTTATTTTTAGTTAACAGCTTTGTTAGTTAACCTCTCAATAAATTCAAATGCAAATAAAAGTTAATTATGCCAATTCTACATCCCCCTTTTAAAAGTTTGTTTTTAAAGTGGATCGAGAAGTGTACAAATTCTTTCAGTATTCACGTTCCTTTGCAGAATTCAAGCTTAATGATCTACTGAAGGACTGCTGACCTTTCTGAACGGCCGTCTATGTTGATTTCACAACTTCAGAGAGAATAAATAGTATGAGAATAGACTCCTACACAGTTTATTTGTGGTCTAAGGTTCAAAGAAACTATTAAAGTACTTATTTCCATCAGAACATATTTTCCACTTATAATTGTCTCCTAGGATTTGGGGTACCAATTCCTATTGAATTTCTTTCTAGCTTTGTCAACATGAAGCATGATATGTGTCAACCATTTCTTAACCCAAACATTAAATATATTTACTTCGTTTCTTCAAAGTTGCAAGAATAATCAAAAAAAGCTCAGGCCTGTGAATCTCTCTGCATGGAATTCTCTTCAGCTTCAACTGACATTCTATCTGCGAGCACCCTGCAGATTTTCTCTCCCAAATTAAATTGGATTCAGACTCATTTCAGTCTCCTAAAATCCCCAAACATAAACTATGACTTTCAAGAGTAGCTGTTGTGGGGAGAAGCCTCATGCCAATATAAAACAGCTTCAAAAGTCTGATTTTCAGCGGTCAAGTGCTCTGCACTTGGTAAAAAACAAGACCTTTCAGAGATATCCCAGATTAGATGACTGAACACTTAAATTACATTTAAGACATGGCTGTCATATTTAAAATAAAAAGGAAAAATCTTCTAAGTTTGTCATCCTATTGACAGTTAGTCAGGAACGAGGCAAATCATCCAATGGACTTCTCTTTTATCCTGATGCATGAACCACGATGTGGCTTGAAACATTGAAGTTAACAGGGACAATGGTCCAAAACTATAATTAGCACTGAAATTCACCTAAAAAAAATCTACAAAGAATAAGCACACCAAAAAAACCCCAAAGTAATCTGAGCATTGCTATACTTAAAATAACCAACTAAGATGTGAACACACCTGCTAAATAGTCTCAAAACTGGTTTGCAGTTTTCCCTCCATGATGCTTACCTGCAGATGGGAGTATTGTGGCTTGTCCTTATAAAGCACAGTGCTGATTTAAAAAGAACTTTAATGACACATCACACTGGGGTCATGACCTTATTCAAACTCCATGCATGGAACATGACAAAGTTTGTTGGTAAGTTCCAGATTTTATTAGACTAATATTCCATCACTGGAAACCCTGCTAGAGACAAAGCTCCTGAAGCTGAGATGTCCTTGCAAAGAAAGCCTAACATCCATGGAGTTAAACTAATGCTCTCCTGAAATGGTACTGAAAGCTGGTATTAAATGGTGCTGAACTTCATTTCTCTGGATTACATATGCTACTAGAATGTGTTTCAAGTGACATTATCTGCACTTTTCTTTTGAAATTGGTTATTCTCTGTAGTGTAGCCAGACATACCTATGCATGTGTCCTTGCTCTTCATGTTTGTATACCTGTCTCTATTATTTTCATTCAGTCTGAGGAAACGTAGGCACTCAGAGGAAATATAAGAAGAACACAATTCAGGTCTTACCAGGATTTCTTTTAAGCATATGTTCTGCTTCTATAGCTGTTATCTGTGAGACTGTGGTGAACACATGGGCACAATGTACAGATGCCCGTTCCATACAGTACCGATGGTAAATCTGTCTCTCTCCTGCTTCCTTGTCAATGTCAAACTGTTAAATAATAAAACAAACAAAAAGACACCTGTGTGATATGCTCATCAGACTTACTACCACAAAGAAGGTCTCTTGTGTGAAGCTTGATTTCCCCAGGGAATAAGAATCACGTGATTATGCTGTTGGTTTGTCTTTCTGTTTTTTGAAACTTTTATCAACTTCAAAGAGTTTGAAGGAGCAAGAGAGTGCTCAGTTCCTGCATGTTCATGAAAAAATGGCAGCTTTGCAATGGGGGGAGAGCTAGATTAATGATCCCATAAAAGGTAAGGATCTGTGCTACTTGGCCTGCTGGCTGGCAATATGTCATGCTGCATCTTGCCTGGGCTTGTTGGAAAACTTGGGAGAGCAGGGAAGTTGCTTGTAACTGAAGGTATAGGGGAGAGTAGAAAAAAGGAATGGGGATGAGGAGAGAACCTGGGGACTGGGTTGAATGGTGGGAATCATGGGTAGGCAAGAGAGAAATGGAGTTGTGGTGGAGAGGCAGGATGCAAGAACTCCGTCACAAATCCTGAGGGAACAAAGAAAATAGAAAATGAGATATTTTCTGATGCTCAGAGATGATCTTCCTCCAACTCCACCACTATTATTTGCTGCTTCTTTTACTTTAATTTGAATTCCATTAATTTCTAGAGGCAGATGTAAATTAAGCTGCTAGATAAGACCATCCCAAATACCAAAGTGTTTCTAAATCATCTTTAAACCTTGCAGCCACCCTTTTTTTTGCTGAGCTTATGTTATCCTGATGGGAAGAAAATGCACAATACCTATTGAGCCCATGCTTAAAAGTTCAAATGTTCACTAATGATATCCATTGCAACATTGCTACGATGTAGTCTAAAAAAGAATAATGCTAATGGGGTGTCAATGATTACAATTAAATTACAATCCTCTTAGTCTTACATGGTGTTTCACTTCTGGGAACAGAGGTGTTAACCTCCTAAGGTCAATGGCATGGGCACCAAATAGACCGGGTGAGTTACACAGAGAGTGACAATGATTCTCAATGAGCTGTCATTATCACTGCCTAATGCTAGGTGCACAGTCTGATTTTGATTGCATTTGACTCTCTAACTTCATTGACCATAATCGATTTAACCATTATCATAGGCTGGGCAGACAGCACTTTCTATAGTTAGGGCTATCTGACCTTTGCCACAGCTAGTTGCTTTTAGTACTTTAGAACTTAGCCAGAAGTAAAGCTATTTAGACCGCGACTTTTCATGCTCAGTATATGCTTAAGGTTGGTATAGAACATATTTTAAGAAATCTCATCAAATGTGAACAATTTCGGGGAACAGGATTTAAGCAAACTTTTTTTTTTATTTTTACTTAGATAGGTATAGATATAGACATAGATATAGACATCTTACAACTGTTTTGCTAAGAAACTTAACTGCTTTTATCCACTGAGCACTCTAATTTTGCAATGGTGCTACACTGCTGGTGGAAAAGTGGCTTCCACTGTATTAGTTGAAAATGCCACCTTAATGTGATCAAAAAAGGAATCTTGAAAAATCTCAGCTGAAAAGTTCTAGAGAAACTAGATGCTTTCTTTTGGTATTGATGATCCTGTATGTCAAGAGTTTCTAAGCTTGCCAAAGAGATTTTTAGAAAAGCTATGAAATATGTTTTACCACATAATATGCTATACATTATGATACCATTTTTCAGTTGTATCTTCATATATCATATTTTCCGCATTCCCCATGAGAATTTTGGTGCATGAAATACAACCATGTCACAAAAGAACATCTTTTCTCTAGAACATACATCTCATTTGTCACAGAAGTTGAATGCTAGAAGAAGCACAGGGCAGGAGGGTAGAGGAAGAGAAAAATAAAGGTGAATTAATTTAACTCCTGAGAGTGCCACAGATCTCTAGCATGATGCTTTGCTTACCCTAAACCGAGTCTTTCACATGCAGTTCTCAACTGTGTGTTCCTCCTTTTCTGGGAGACTACCTTGATATCTTTGAGTCTGATCTGTTGAAGTGTTGAGCATTCACAGCTACATCTGAAGTCCACTGGACCTACGCTCTGAGGTTATAAAGCACTTGGTACTGCTAACTCCAATAAAAGCTTCCCTAAAAAAATGGGGATGATGTGGCTACCTCCCCTCACATGGGCGTGGTAAACTAATTAATTAATGTTTCTGGAGCACTCGGATACCACTGATGAATGCTGCAAAACACCTCTTAAGAAAACCACAGATATGTTCTCCAGAGCAGAAATCCTAATTACATGTCATAAATAAGGTAGGAAGCTGCATATTGAACAACAACAAAGCCAAAAATCATTATGATTTTTCAACCATTCTGTGTACCAAAGATGCAAAATGGGACAGTTCTTTAGCATGCTGGACAAACACACAAATGGCATGGGGTATCACTGCACAGTCAAAACTATGCAAGTATTTTCCAATACATTTGACTTTGTATTAAAAATAATTTTAAAATTGCTAGCAAACAAATAGCTGGCCAAACTTTAAAAGGTTTTTGCTCTCTTTTCCCTTTCTCACCAAGAATGGATTCTTTACAAAATGTAATTAAAAACTAAATCTGGGACACGTTCACTAACTGTAGATAAACACTCCCTCCAGCACTACCAGGAGAAAGGTTCATAAAAGGATTGTTCAAAGCACTATGGCTTATTTCTTGCTAGCTTTTATTTCTTTGATTGCATGAAAGCATTTAACACATACACATATTGATGTTTATTTCTTCATTGGTATTAATTTTTTTGATCTTCTGGAAATGGGAAAGGTATTATTTTGCACATGCTTGCATGACTTTTGGCGCACTTTTTCAAAGGCACATAATTCCATGTCTATTAGCAAGTATAAACGGAGGTAACAGAGTTCTCACATTTCATTTACTCTCACTCTCCAGCAGTTTCCTCCACCGATCGGTAAAGTAACATCTTGACCTTTGACCCCACTTACAGCGTGAAGCAAGAAACCTCACTGTGCACCTCTGAACAGGCCAGACAAGTGACTTCAGAAAATAAGCCTCAGACAAGGTGAAGGGCAGGTTAAATGGAACTTAATTGATGAGAGTGCAGGAGACAAATTTAGTCCACACAGTACTGTACAAAGACAGCTGAGCTTGCTGTGACAGCATTAGCTCCAGAATTAGAGGCAACGTGGGACATGGCACTGTGTTGAGCCAATATGCCAAAATGAAGCAGAACACCAGTGCAGCTAGTTTGCTTTTCACCCCCAAACCAATGTTTCTGCTCAGCAATTGGCTCTGCTGTCGGAATGCTTGTCCACCCTAACTCAGGCACCTGTGAACTATGTTCCATCGTGTTCATATTCAGCGAGGGCAAAGCACAATATCTGCGAAGTGCGTCATGCTTACTTTTGTTTGTTTGCTGTTATCAGCAAATGGGAACACTAGCAAAGCCACAAACAAAAGCTGCATCAAGAGAAAACCAGATCTAAGTCAGATTAACTGTTTATAGAATCATTTAGGTTGGAAAAGACCCTTAAGATCATTGAGTCCAACCATTTCTTCCCTCAGTGACTTTTAAAGACTAACGACTTCAATAGCCACTTCCCTGTAAATTTCCACTGCTCCCAGTGAGGATCCCCTCCTACTCTGACTGTTAGAAACCAAGCAGAGTATTAGAATTTACATGATGGCAAGGATTAGAGGGGAAAATGCCTCCCTTATAAGGCCACTCTAATTTCAAAGCAAAACAGGAAGACATTCCAGAGGCATAAAGCTTTGGAGTAAAACTTGCATTTGCTGCAATGCAATTCTGAGGAAAAATTTCAGCTCATTTCTGTCCTTTCTATGGATCCATGTGATGAGCATAACATTTCATTCATGTCCTAAAATATAGCATGTTAGGGGGCACAGCAGGTTACACTGAACCTCCCAGCATGACATTCTGGTTAAGACAGCTAAGACATTCTTTGAATGCAAAAAGAAGAGAATATCAACCAGTTATGGGATACCGGTGTTATGTTTCTCTTGGAAACAGCAAACAGCCACTGAAGTAACAAATCCAAATCAGACATTCCTACTTCAAAATGATAAAGACAAATTGCAAAGGATTTACAAAAGCACAAAAATTATTTGAGAGTGGAAAAGGAGGAAAGACTATGCTAGCTATGTAAATACTTTTCTGAAAGACAGATAAATTGTTTTATCACAGACTGCATATAATCTCTAGATACTGATACTAGACTATGCTTTCATAAAGAGGAAAAAAAAAAGTATGATGAAAGCCAATGGAAGTTAAACCAAGACAAATTCAAACTGGAATTAAAATAATGTAGTTTTGATAACGAAGAACTTTGTGACAGCTTTGCATAAATAATATAGATTCCCCTCACCACATGAACCTTACCTCAAGAGTGGATAACGTTTTTGTAAGTAGTTTGTACCTCAAATAAAAGGTATAGGCTTGATGCATGAATTTTTAGCTGAAGGTTTTAGTCAGAGAATGAAATGATCTCTTCTGGTCTTTAAAATCAGTGGCACACTCAAGTTCACAAGGTGATTCTGCAGTGGAATCAGGAACAGTCAGAGATAGGCCTGAAGTTCAAATTCCTTATCTACCAAACGGTAGAATGGAAGGATCTTCATTTCTAGCATAATCTCACTAGTTGCCATTGTCTGAATTATGTAAGAATTACTCTTTTAAAAATCCAGCTTATGTCAAACTTAACTCCCATTGATTGCTGTCTTGTGCAAATAGAACTTTCATTCTGATATAGCTCTGTCATGCCAAAAAAGAATGAAATTTACGCTTCCTGGCTTAAGTCAGATTTCCATTAGCTGCTCTACTAACAAAGCGGATCAGCTTTGCATAACAGTGAGCTCAGTGACAGCCGTGACAGTACTGTACTAAGTGGAATGAGAGCTTGTGCTCCTATATTGTCAGCATAAAAGCTCTTGACCATTCATTTTCATTGGGATTTTTAGTACTCTTCCTTTTAGACCTCCTGGGATAGAATTCTCCACCACTTTGCAAACTAGATTCAGGTGC